GTGACACAAACGGCAGTGCCACGCCTGAGCCATTGGTGCAATCACCTACACCCGCTCAAATGGTGCTGCCAGATCCATCGGATACACAGCAAACCCATTCCGATCCCTCTCCGCCCTCGGCTTCACCCCCTGCCACTGCCATTTTGCCCGCTGCCATTTCACATCCTGTCGAACACAGTGAGCATGCAAACTCAGCCCCACTTGGCGAAGTCAGTGAGAGTGAAACACACGATGCAGCGGGCGAACACAGTGAGAGTGAGCAAGATGTTCTTCTCAGCGATCCTGCTCCGCCCATCGCTGCCAACGTGCTGGATGCCCAGCGCAAGGTCCTGCTGAAGACATCTGGCCACAGGCAACTCCTCGCCTGCCCATTTGGGCTTTGCAAATGCAAGGGGCCCCGCCTTGACCGCAAAGCCTGGGTCAATCATGTACTACGCAAGCACCCCTACGACGAGCAAGCCACTGATCTGGTCAAGCAGGTGATGGAGGCCAAATTGGTCGCCCAGTGCAACAAGTGTCACCTCTTCTTCGAAGCTACTGGTATCAGTCAACACCGCTCCCGATGTGGTGCCAATCTGAAGCGAGCGACCGAGGCGTTGTTTCATGCGGCTGGACACGACCTGCTTGAGATTATGCGTGGCGCTTGGCCCCAACAGTGTGTAGGGTCTCGCATCAGTGTCTGCGAACTGCTCAAGCTCGCCCGGCATCCACTGATGCAGCGCAGCCGCTACCAACGCCACCGAGACCAAGCTGATGGCTGCCACCCTGAGCCAGCTGTATTGGTCTGCCGTCCACTCGGACTATACCGCTGAAGAGCGAGAGATGTGCTGGGCTTTGATTTTGGCCTTGCCTAGCATGTTGTTGTCTGCTCCCTCGACCGCACTGTCTACGATTGACCTGCGCAATATGTTTCACGATCGTCTCCGTTGGCTTGTGACGGGGCAACTAGGTCGGGTCGTGGACGCCATGCGCAAGGCAGTCGCACGCAAGCAGAGCCGTCGAGGACAGCTGAACGCCGGCGCGGGCGCCCACCCGAACGACGCAGTCGACCAGAGCCTCAGGTCACTCGTCCGCGACCCGGACCTGGCGGACGAAGCCTGGGCAAACCACGTCACGAACCGTCTGAACCGAGGTCAGATTGCCAAAGCATTTGATGCCGACAAGGCTCGTGCCGTGATTGGTAATTCTGAGGTTCAGGCCGTGCTCGACCTCTTGG